GATTTTTGGTTATCAGTATTACACATCACAACATCAGGCAGTGCACTGGGACTTAAAGAGTTAATGTTCCAGTTTTGGGTACCTGTCCCAGAAGAGCAGAAGAACTACATACCCCAAAGGACTTCACATTCAGAGAAAAGAGAAAATCCCTGGCAGGGTCACAGGACTGGACTCTCCTCCCTTCTGCTCATCCTGACCACACGTCTCGTCGCAGCATTAGAGTAGGGCCTTCAGCTTTTGGACACTCTCTCTCATATTATTTGTTTTATTACCTTCAACTCTAATTATATTGTATTATAGAATCATAGAATCACTCAGGTTGGAAAAAACCTTCAAGATCATCAAGTCCAACCACGACCTAACCATACTACCCTAACTAACAACCCTCCACTAAATCATGTCCCTGAGCACCACATTCAAATGGTTTTTAAACACATCCAGGGATGGTGACTCAGCCACCTCCCTGGGGAGCCTATTCCAGTGCTTAACAACCCTTTCTGTAAAGAAGTGTTTCCTAATATCCTACCTAAACTTACCCTGGCACAACTTGAGGCCATCTTCCCTCATCCTGTCACCTGTTATCTTGCATTCCTATATCTTATTTTGTAAATTTGTTTCTCCTCAGATGGTTGCTTCTGTTCTGCTTTGGGCCCACCTCTCTATCCTGTTCCCCTACCCCTTTCCAGGGCATGAATCCCTGGAATCCTCCACCCCCCTATTCATGGAACCGGGACAAATCAGCCCATAAACTGTTGACAAAGGGTCTCTTACATGGGACTGCCACATTTCCAGTGTGAAGGCAAATACCAGAAAGAATCTCACAGAATCATTATGTTCAGAAATCTTAAGGAACTTTTCCCATGATTAACAAGACTAACATTTAAAAGGACATCTTATTAATTGGAAGCAGATTCAAATAAACTAAATGTCTCTTCATGAAATAGAGCCTGTTTTACTAATTGTTTAAAATAAAATAAAAAATTTTCTAGACCTAGACAAAGAGGAAAAATTATGTTAGAAGGGAAAAAGACTTTAGGAGCTGAAAGTATGCTGAAATATTACCATAAAAAAGGACAAGTCAGTGTATTTTATGTGAAAATAAATCAGTAACTGAAGAAAGGGAGCACACAGTACCTCAGTTTCGAAAAGGCTCTTGCACAATCAGTCTAGCCATGTGTAGATGATAACATTAAAAATCTGTCAAGTGAATAATGTCAGTTCTGAATAACTTCTCGATATTTGGTCTATAAATCTGAACTTTGACTGACCTAATACTGGCCACTGACTCAGGCACAGGTATGATTGGTCATGACACTCGGGGACATTATGAGATAAAGATACAGATAATATAAAAAAGAGTTCTCCTAGATCATATGACTTCATAACCTATCCAGTTAGGATTCACACTTATTCCGATGATGTCTGTAATACATTTTACCCAAACACAGTCCTTCAGAAGTCCACGGTGTAGGAGTACAGATAGAAGTACACAGCTATAAAGCAATTACTCCAGTACACACATCAGAACTCAAAGGAAGAAGACAAGGAGATAACTTGGATAAACAGAATTATATCTCGTTATTTCTCAACAAAGTTGAGAAATGTTGGACTAATTATGACACTGTTTCACATATTACATTTACAAGACATAATATTCTAAGTTATCACAACAAATCCCTGGCTACAACTGAGAGTCCAACAGGCTGAATTGAACAAACATGCTCCTTCCTTTCCTCCCTCTCCCTCTCTGTGTATGCAGTATGCAGTGCTTCTCCACTTGCCCAGTAATCATCTATATAATTTACTTGATGTATATTTTCTGTAGTTTGTACTAACTTCAAAGAAAAGAAATGCTAGAGCAATAACAGATTTTTGCAAAAAAAAAAACCAATTATTTTTAATATCGCTATGATGAGGAACAAAAATATTGAAAAGAAATGTTGAATGTTTCCTCTTTTCTAAAACATGTAACGCTTTCACTACTATATTCCATGAATAGATATTTTAAAAGCTTTGTGATTAAGCAGCACTGTAATGCAGAATATCTAAGTGCCAGTATTTTTAAAGAGGAGCTAACATTACTAAAGGGAAAATACAGTAATAATAAACCACTCAACTTCTATACGTCTGTCAGTCTCAAAGGAATTTTACAACAGCAGCCAGTGCTGTTGTAATAACAGCGGTTATCTGTGGTTTGCACACAGGAAGAAGAAGAACAGGAGAACATTTGCTCTACACAGCCTTGCAGGACACATTTACAGGCCAGTCAGAGCTAAGAACAGATTCCACATTCTCTTAGAATACGGGTTAGTATGACCACTTATGACTTTTAAAACCATTTATGAACTGACGGTAAAGAAATGCACACTATTTAGACAAAAACAAAACAAAACAAAACAACGATGTCGTTAACAGATGAATTCTGGAAAAGATAGACACAGCAGTTTAAGATAAAGCTATTGTTGCACAGATATTTGTCGTCATTCACGGACAGTGGCTATTTCCTCCAAACAAAAACCATGGAAGTGAAATGTGTGCTGGTGCCAGACGCTTCAGTGCAGTTCAGAGTTCTACTTAAAACTGCCTGCTGTACGATGAGTGAAACAAGTCATCAGGCATGGAAAAAACTATCAGTGTCACTACAGCAAGTTTAATAAGATACCACTTTTCAATAGTTTCAGAATTCCAGTGCTAATTTTGCTACTGTCTCACGCTATGATGGGAAAGATCTCCTTACCCACTCTTTTTCCTGCAGATAAGACATCAAAACTCTTGCCTATAACACAAGTGTTTTTAGTAAGCATCTCACCTTAATGTATCAACAAATATTAGAAAACAAAATAAGAGAAAGCAACCCACCCACACTACTATCATGCACTGAATGTCACTTGTATGTTAAAAACACACTTAGTGAGCCTTACAGATCACATCACATCAGTGAGGTAACCTCACTGCTCTCTTCTGCTCCCTGAGGAGGCAAGCAGAAGGCTCAGGCCAGGCTCTGCCCTGGGAGCTGATGGCAGGATGGGGAAAAAAAAAAAACTGCACCAGGGGAGGTTTGGACTGGACACTAGGATGAATTTCTTCACTATGAGGGTGGTTATCCACTGGTTATCCTAGAGAAGTGGTTGATGTCCCATGCCTGTTTGTTCATTTGGACAACACTATTGGTAAAATGCTTTATTTGGTTAGTGCTGAAGTGGTCAGTTGAACTAGATGGTCTTTGTAGGTTCTTTCCAACTGAACTGTTGTGTTCATTGTTTACCAGAACTTGATTACATTGAATTCCCATTTCTACAGACATCTTTACCAGTTATAATAAGGGAAATTTGGACTGGATGTAAGGAAGAAGTTTTTTATGATAAAGATAGTGAAGCACTGCTTCGGTTGCCCAGTAAGGAGATGGATACCCCATCCTTGGAGGTATTCAAAGTCAGACTGGACAGTCTGAGGAACCTGTTCAAGCTGAAGATGTCCACTGCATGGGAGTTGGACTAAGTTTAAAGGTCCTTTGCAACTCAAATGATCCTATGATTCTATGATTAGGTTCTATTTTCTCCTCCACTATTCCGATTCTTTAAAATTCTTAGCTATATAAATACCACAGTTCTTTTAAATACTAATTTCTATGTCACAGGTGCATTTTCTGATCTTCTTGATGTTTACATGATTTCTCAATTTACTTTCAGCTGGGAATTTTAATTAATAGGCTCATCCAAGTAATTCATTTTATTGAACACTTTCACTAATCTTCGCAGGTTCATACAAAAAAAGTTCTCCTACACATCACTCCTATTAAGTAGAAGTAAAAGAAAAGGAAATAAAATATAATTTTCACACAACATATAAATTATAATACAGATGTGGATATATACAAAATGTGTGTGCACAGGGGATATATTGTTGTAGTGAAGGGATTATCTAAATCTCTTGCACTCAGAAACATGTAATTCCAGTTCAAGAATTTTTGTTGTGTTAACAACAGTCTAGTAAAACCAGGCATTTTAAAGACATTTTACTACACAGCATTATTAATTCTGAGAGGAAGCGCCATCCCTTGAATAACACAGAATCACACAATTGTAGGGTTTGGAAGGGACCTCTAGAAATCATTGATTCCAATTCCACTGCAAAGCAGGCTTCCTACAGCAGGCTGCACAGGTAGGTATCCAGGTGGGTCTTGAACATCTCCACAGAAGGAGAATCCACAACCACCCTTGGCAGCCTGTTCCAGTGCTCCATAACCCTCACGGTGAAGAAGTTCCTTCACATATAGGTGTGGAACTTCCTATGCTCCAGTTTATGGCCATTTCCACTTGTTCTGTCCCCACTGGATACAGTACTCTAGGTGAGACCTCACCAGGGCAGAGTAGAGGAGGAGGATACCTCTTTGATCCTCCCTTGCCACACTCCTTTTAATGCACCCCAGGATCCCATTGGCCTTCTTGGCCACGGGGGCACATTGCTTGCCCACAGGCAACCTGTCGTCCACCAGAGCCCCCAGGTCCTTCTCCACAGCGCTTCTCTCCAGCAGGTCATGCCCCAACCTGTACTGATAACATGCTGTTATTCCTTCCCAGGTACAAGACTCTACACCTGCTTTAGTTAAACCTCATCTGATTTCTCACTGCCCAACTCTCCAGCCTGTCCAGGTCTCGCTGAATGGCAGCACAGCCTTCAGGTGTGTCAGCCATGCTCCCAGCTTTGTTTCATCAGTGTACTGGCAGAGGGTGGACACTTTCCCCTCATTGTCAATGAAGACACTGAACAAGACCAGACCCAGCACCATCCCCAAGGGTACACCACTAGTAAATATGTTTTTCCAGTTTGTTTTTTTGTTTTTGTTTTTAAACAAGGAAATCCAAACGTTTGTTCAAATAATACAAACTCAATTTATCTCGTTATGTTTCTATCTCTGGCAGCATGACCCTGGTTGATATCTATTGTTTGGCAACAGTCAAAAATGCTAATGAGAAAATAAAAGCAGCTATGATACTTACATTAGTGAGGTGAATTACTCCTCTAGATGTTACGGAGCAGCCCATGAAACCAACATACTGTAGCTCAGGACAGTGCTCTGCAAATGCTTTCACTGACTGATCTGTCACCTGCAGAAAAGATACACAGGTACCGTTGAAGAGGTGATGTGAGTACATACATAATATAATCTATTTTCCCTGTAACTCTGGCAAGATCCTCATTAATGGTTTTATTCATGTTGTCACCACTACTATTTATTTTAAGAGTTTGAAAGAAAATGTTAGATGTGCATACATATCTGTAGAAGTGTATGAAGAGGGATGATGAAAGTGGGGGATCATCATCTTGGAGGAGAAGGAAAAATAGAAGAAGAAAGAATGATGGCAACTGAAATTCATTCTGCTTATCTGCAGATAACCCAAGAGACTATTCTATCCACTATTCCCATAAATTATACATAGACATCAAAATACTAACAAATTTGATTGTCATCCTAGAGAATCATGCTGAACATTGCCATGCATCATTTCTTCAGCAAAGAATTTGAACTCAGACATATCCTTAGTTTCCAATCCCTTACTAGACAACATTACTGAAACAAAGACATTGTTTTATATCATTCAGTGTCATTTACCCATTAAATGGAGATTTTACCTATTTTATTATTGCGATTTAAATGAATTTCTCAACCATTTATTTTGTCTAATAACTATGAAACACAAATTAATGCAATGTTTTGCAGGTATACCCAAAGGAGAACTATTTGCCAAGTTTGTGAAGGATGTAAAATGGATATGCTTAAAACATCTCCTTATTTTTCTTTAAGCAAGCTGTTTTGTTTTTTTTTTTTGCTTTTATGAGCAGTATAAATTCCCAATGCAAATGACAGTAGTACAAAACTCTATTTTGCTTTTGGGATAAAAACTACACTGTCCAGGAAAATTGTACTGGAATCATGTCTCACGTGTCTGGAATCCTAAGCCTTGAATGCTTGAGGACATTATGGATATACAAGAACATATTCTTGTCATCAGAGAACTCAAAAGCAAAAGAAATCTTGAAATACCAAGTCCTTAACTCAGCCTCAGGTGAACAGATACATGCAAACAGTATTCTTATTGTGCTATGTATCACATTTATCCACAGTTCCAACTTGCTTGGCCAACATGTCACTTAAGTGCATACTGGGAGCACATTGCGACCTTGGTGAGACTCTGACAAGGCAATTTTCGAAAAGACAGCCCAGAGATAAAGGAAACCAACAAGATTATAGACACAATACCACATTTAAGCTGTTTTGATATGAGTTATTAGGTGCAGTTTATACAGGTCTAATGTAGTTTCTCAAAGCAACAGTTTCTCAATGAATAAACAGTTTTCTAGTTACACATCACCCAACTACAAATGAAAGGCAAGACCTCAGGAGCTGGATATTTACAAATCTGAAAACAGACCAAAAGAAAAGGAAAAAAGGGCCAGTTAAACAGAATCAACAATGAAATGGTCACTGGCCATGTTTTTTTGCATTAACCTATGCCCACAGTCTACATACTTAGATTAAAACAAACAAACAAACAAACAAACAAAAAAACTGTAGTAAAAAATTTCTTCTTTCATTTTGATCTGACAATGTCTTAATCTTATATTATCATCTTTGCACAATTTTCTAAGGACTGTCACACTATCTGGGAATTTTGAAGATTTTGACCACTAGAAATCTGTGACAAATAGCACCTAAAATCAAACATGATTTTCCTAAGACGTTAAAAAAAAAAAAAAAAAAAAAAGTAACATTTAAATTAGGATTAGAAAAACAGAATATACCAATACTAGCTTTCTACTCTAGCTTTTCTACAGAACATAAACTAAACCCTTTGCTCTTCAGGAGAAAAACCATGCTACAGACTTAATCTACTATCCTTACAGAGGATTAAAGTAACATTCTCTGCCTCAGACAGGTTTGCCCTGGCTAGCAAGAAAGCATATTCATGGACAATCAATGTGGCAAATTTTCAGCATCCTGAACAAAATTAAAAAGTAAATAGTTTTGGTAAAAATTGGTGATCATAAGTACTAAACAGCATACAGACTGGGAGTTAACAGAGTTAAATTTCCTGTGCTTGTTATGTAATCAGGATCTATCTGGTCAGAAGAAGATTTTTACCTCATTACTCATTACCATTCCTGTCCCATGATCTTCATAGTTTAGAAAAAATTATTTACAACCTGTCAACCTGAATATGCCTTACATTTCCTCTGGGAGAATTCACAACTTTTGTCATGCATTTTGCTACTGCAAATGGCAATTTCTGTCCTTAAATCTTGACTTAGAAATGAAATAGTTGTGCACTGAACCTGCTGATGTCTTTAAGCAGACACCATGTTTTGCTGTCAGCTCATAAACGCACCAGATCTGTAGGACGTGACCTCAAGTTTTAATGGGAAACATTGTAAAAATTTCCTGATCAGCACTGCAATATCACAACCAGCATTCTCAATTATGCCAGTACCTATGAATACCTTCCGTCTTTTTCAGACCCAGAGTAATTCGTAGCAATTTGTATTTTAATATCATGATTCTCAGTGAGACAGTCTGCAAAGGAGATCACCAGATACTGTGCTTCATTAGCTACCCATCATAAAATTCCCTCACTGGAGAGAGCAGTTAAGTGGAAGGAAAAATAAACATACATATTTCTGTACATATCTATATACATATACACTTGCAGTTTTACAAGAACCACAGAATCACAGGATTGTACTACATCCCGACTTGGAAGGGACCCACAAGGATCACTGAGTCCAACCCCCACCTCCACATAGGACCACCCAAAATCCAAACCCTACACCTGAGAACACCTACATCCATCCAAACACTCTCAGAACTCTGGCACTTGAAGCCGTATCCACTGCTCTGGGCAGTCTGTTCCATGCTCACTGCCTTTCGATGAGTAACCCACTCCTGATGACCCTCCCCTGACACAGTTCCATGCCTTTCTTCACTCTGTGTTCAACTAGATAAAAGAACATCTAATGATAACTTACTTAAACAAAGTATCTGATGAAGGAGCTAAAAAACATAATTCTCACTATGCCTGTCCTCCTTTTCGAAGGTGACTGAGAACCTAAAAATGCTGACCTGCAGTTCAGCAAAAGTAAGTGATGCCTGAATCCTATCCATCAGTATTCTTATACAGTTCTAAAAACACACTAAGCCAAGCTTCGTAAGTAGAAACAGTATTTGTCATTAGAAATGCTTTCATGGGGAGAAAAAACTAGCTAAGTTTCAGACAGATCTGAAACAGAAATAACAAAGTTAAATTAAAAGCTAAAAAAAAAAAGATTCTATGATGGAAAAACAGTCGTTATTCTGTTTAGTCAGATTGACTGCTATGTTGTTATCTGCAGTGTCTAGCAATGATATATATATTTGAGATTTTATATCTAAACTCAAAACATGCAGGCCAGCTGACTATTTTTACTGTCCCAGGGATGGTAATCTCTTTCACTGTATTTTAACTTCCCAAGAGATGACTTGCTCTGCACACTGCATGATCAGTGACAGTTGAAAAATAAAAATAAAACATGCTCAGCAATAGCATAAACTCAATGATTAAGCAATCTTAACTCTACTCATAATGCAATATGTAATTGTATGCTACGGTTTCCTCAGAGTCCTCTTTATTACTCAGGAGACAGGACAGGTGAAACATGTATTATAAATATGGCTTCTGCAACCTATCAAGCATTTGAGAGTTTCAACTGTCATTCAGACATACTATATAAGAAGATTGGACTAATAATCTAAAAACACATTACCAAAGAAAATATACTGCGGTTCCATTAAAAAGTCCATTGTCAGTAAGGATACAGAAATTCACAGCTAATTTTTTTATAGATCACAGTAGTGTTCTTCCAAGAATCTTTAATATCTGATTGTCTAGTCGACCTTCATTGACTTTCATTCACTCTGTCTTGCTTGATATTAGTCTTGGTTTGAAAAAGTAATATAGGATGATGAGGAAAGATTTATAAGTTATGCACTAAAGCACTGTGAATGAGAAATACACTGGTCTGGAACTAATAGCACAGATTTTGCTCCTATTAAAAAGATCTATGATAAGCAAGCTACGGTTTAATCATTTTCTTCTTCTGTATTACAGCTTATTATATATGAATTCCAGTTCTGTATTGTTTTACAGAAATTCAATATATTGGCTATTCTGAATTAGATTCTGTAAGTATTAGTTTGTTTTAAACTCCATAGTTGAAGTAGCAAAGAAGAACAGTTCTGAAGAGTAATTCAAACATGAATTTTGAGGTGCAAGACAAGCAAATCCTCACTAAGATGCCATTAATATATAGCAATTAATAAAAACTTACAGAATCTCATGCAGACATGACAGAAAATGGAAAAGAAGTAGGAATAAAAGTACTGTCCAGACCAGAAATGGACACCACATTATTCCATTGAAACAGGCACACTACAAGTCTATGTCAATTCTTTATATAAAATACATAAATACAAGCTTGCATAATACTGAAGGATTTTTTTTTTTTTTTTTTTTCAGAAGAAAGGCATTAGGATAAACTGTGGTAAAGTGAAATACAAAATAAAGAGTCTGTCTGCCATGCATATATTATCTGAGTGTTCACTGCACAAGTCAGTACTAACGGGAGAAGAAAGCCCTTTATTCCTAATTCCCTACTCCATAAGTCTGTACCTGTCCTGAACACATCATACCTATCTTGGGCAGCACAAGAAGAAAGGAAGGGTCAGAAATTACTCACCTGAATTCAGTTTTATATTTGGAAAGTTTGGAAAGAGGTTTCTAAAAAACTGATCAGCTGATTCAGCCCTAAAACGTCCTTGCTTTTCTTTTATACTGCAGACTTGACAAATTATAAACTTAGAACATCAACATAAAGCCCTGCATGTAGCATGTTGCAAAGACCCTCAAAACTGTTTTGTATCAGATAATTAACCAACGTCAATTTTCCTTGGTCTGTTTTCCCTGGAATCCTTGCATGCAAGAATTGACCATAACATGGTGTAGGCTATTCTCCATATGAATCTTCTTAGGCATAACCTTGCTTTCTTTCTATTTTAGCACAACTCCTGAAATGC